ATGCAACTGTCAGTTTAAATGCTTTAAATGAGGCTGATGGGATTAGTAATTGAATGCTCGGATTAATGATTTACAGCTGGCTTTGCTCCCCTGTTCGTTGCTTACAGCTATGTTCATGATAGCTCCCGACCCCGGTTAGGTGGGTGGAGTAGTGGTCCATAAAGGCAATAGATTTATGGCATTATGAAATGCAGTTATGATACAGATTCTATGTAATCAGTGCACTCCTGTTGATACGCATACCTATTTTTAATATGGTGGGCAGCAAAGGATTACGATCAAAAAAGGAGAAAATCTAAAAATAGCCAGCTAACCTCCCCAAGTCAGGGCTTGGAACTGGAGGTTCTCAGTCATTCTCCAATTTAATGTATACAATGGTCTTTTATGGTCTGAGCCAGAAAGCAAACCTCGGTGGTGTGGGTGGTGAAATTACACCCAAGGCTGCGAGTGGAGGCTGACAAAGGGATTTCTACAAGAGGTGGTAGGATGGCAGAGGGAGAGATGAAGTCTCTGCTCGGCCAAAGCGGGTGCTCTTGGAGAAAGAGACCAGACTGCAAGTCTCCAACAGGTAGAAGGATCTCTTTGGTGATGCCTGAATCACCCATGGGATTGGGAACTGAAGAGAAGCATGAGTTTTCAGACTCGGGTAGGGAAGTGCTCACACTGCTCTCTGTGTGACTTTTTAGATCCCACTTCAGTGCTTAAAAAGGCCAGAAATATGGTACACTCCTTTGAGTTGTCCGGGGACGTCACTGTAAATAAAATGGGTTTCAGGGCCAGCTAACCCATACCAGGAATTTCTTCATCCTTAAAGAAACCTGGGGTCAGGGAACTTAACCATTTATTTGCCTTTTAAGTTGCAAATTCTGGGATGCTTCTGTTGACATGAGAAGAAATCCTGCTGTTTGTGTCCAGCTGAGCTCTGCTTGAGGAAGAAGGCTGTGAAGAAAACATTCTGTGGCACTGAGACATATACATAAATTGTAGAGTTGTACCATGAATTTGTCATTTTGCCTTATATGTAGGCCTTGAAAACCATCCTAAATGACAGACAGACCCTTATAAGCATACATTGAAAACTTTGGTTCTTGTTAATTAAGTTTCCTTCAGAATTCAAATCAGCCAGTGCACAGTTAGAGTCTACATTGACCAGTTTAATAATACTTATTTCAGTATATTAAATTAGAACATGTTTCTCTTCTTATAAAGATTCTATCTTGGGAAACATTATCTAAAACAGCTAACAACATTGATGTTATAATTACTTGTATTTATGAAAGGGTTATAAACAATTCTAAAGTAAATTATAATTATTTAGAAATAATTACAAAATAATTATTGTAAAAATGGGTTTGTAGCCATTTATATTTATTGTATATCATACTATATATGCATTTAGCAGAAAAAATCCCCCAGGAAATTAAAATTTATGCTCTCATATTTCAGCTCATAGAACACGCCAAGTTCATCTGAGATGTGGGAATGGCTCTATGACCTTTCCTCATTATCCCAAGATTTAAGCTTAGGTTTTCAGGCAGAGCTCCAGCTGCATGCAGTTTGGTATTCAGAAGTCATCGTATTCATCACCTTCTCTCTCCCTCATGATCTGCTCCTGTACGTGAACTCCATTTGGTTCAGGAAATATTTTTTTTTTTTTTTTTGCTTCCTTCCTCTAATTAGTTCCTATTAAAAAACCTAACTCATCCCTTCCTAGCCTTAACTACACTGTATTTTCCTTCCTTTTGTTCCTAATGCAGAGGCATTAATCTCCTGACTGGTCTACATCCTTCCAGCGTTCATTGTTCATATTCAGTTTTTGTTATACTTACTCAGTATTCAGACCAATGATACTATATTTAATCATACTCTGGAATATTGATTGCTGTGTAAAAATGCCAAGGCAATGATAAAAGCCAGGGAAAGGAAATGTAGTATCTGGGTTTTGGTCTCAGGGTGACATTTCTTCCTTCAGAATACTCCTGCAATTAATTTTCTTCAGGGCATCAGGCTTTCCTCCTTTCAGCTTTTATTTATATAAAGCAATACAGCTGTTAAAATAATCTTCTGACGAAATGACAGTTGTAGGAATGCTTTGTAAGAGGAAAATTAGGGGATCCTTTCAGAGCTTGGACCGAGAGTGAGATGCCCTTTTTCATCTCCCAGCCCAGCAGACCCTATCTTCAACCTTAGTTTTGATTTGTGATTTAGTAAAGCGGACTTCAGGAAACCTTGCTTGATTCACTGGCACATTTTGAGCTGATTTCATCTGAAATGTTAATTACAGAGAACGTTAAAACACTTTAGCGTTAGAGAGCCTCTGAGTGATGGCATAACTGAAAGTCATAAGATGAGAAATTCCACGTCAATAGAAGAAATTAGAGCTTATTCTAATTTCACATCTTTTAAATTATAATTATTACAGCAAGAAAGTGACTGGAGAGGTTTTCAATTATAATGGAATGAGGACTATTCAGCTTTGCTATTTCATTCAGAGAATCAAAGTCGCATCCCCCTTCCGTGTACATGGCCACCTGCCTGTTCAACCTTGGAAGAGACGTCCTCCTCCACTTTGCTTGCCCTCACTGCACCCCATGTTTTGGGTTGCATGCGTATATCCCAGTTAGATGTTTGTACCAAGTACTTTTTTTACTATATGAATTGATACAAATGGGAAGGTGTAGTAGATCAAAACACTTCATTATCCAAGATACATTCTGGGTCTAAAAGGTTTTGGAGCTCTATTCCTCATTAAATCACCAATTTTTTTGTTAACTGTGAAGGATGAGTGACAACTGGTAGACCTTCTGCATCATCAATGCTTGTTTTAGTCAGAAAGATTGACAAGTGGCTGAGTATCAGCCGGCAGTGTGCCCAGGTGGCCAAAAAAGCCAACGGCATCCTGGCTTGTATTAGAAATAGTGTGACCAGCAGAAGTAGGGAGATGATTGTCCCCCTGTACTCAGCCACACCTGGAGTATTGTGTCCAGTTTTGGGCACCTCAATACAAGAGAGATATTGAGGTGCTGGAGCGAGTGCAGAGGAGGGCAACGAAATTAGCGAAGGGCCTGGAGCATAAATCTCATGAAGAGCAACTGAGGGAGCTGGGACTGTTTAGTCTGAGGAAGAGGAGGCTGAGGGGAGACCTCATCACTCTCTACAACTACTTGAAAGGACATTATAGAGAGGTTGGTGCTGGTCTCTTCTCACAGGTTATCAGTGATAGAACAAGAGGGAATGGCTTCAAGCTGCAACAGGGTAGGTTTAAGCTGGACATTGGGAAACAATTCTTCACAGAAAGAGTGGTCAGACACTGGAATAGGCTGCCCAGGGAGGTGGTTGAGTCACCATCCCTGGACGTGTTTAAGAGTTGTTTAGATGTGGTGTTGGGGGATATGGTGTAGGGGAGGACTTTGTAGAGCAGGGTTAATGGTTGGACTCGATGATCCCAAGGGTCTTTTCCAACCTGAATGATTCTATGATTCTATGAAACCACCCACGTGATGTGTTCCAGGAGCCTGACTGATCTCCTCCAGCCACTAGTGGGCAGGTGCTATGTGGGGGGAATGAACAGGAAGAAGACTTTTCCTGTGGCTGGTGGCATCTTGAAGAACACTCTAGAAAGGTGATTGGGAACACTGAAAAAGCCATGGAGTTTCTACAGGCATCTGTATTTTCTACCTTTTAAAATTTGGTGTCATCAGTTCTGTACAGTATGAAAATTGTTGTCATGCTTTTTAGTGAAGGAAAAGGAAGGCCTTGAGGTTTGTGAACTCTTCAGCAGGATTTAGGCCATTTCAGACCATCTATATCATCCTCTGAGGGCCAAGGCAAAAACAATCACAACTAATGGTATGAGGTGAGGTTTTTAAGTGCATATTTAAATGCAGCTTAATTTTTAAGCACCTGGAAGATGCTGCTGACTTGAAGTTAAAGAAATGTCAGACCCTCAATTTGCCCTTTGTGTCAAGAGTCCATACTGTGCAAAACTGAAACACAGGTACTGAATGCAGAGCCATAGATGGTTTTAGACATCTAGCTCCCATAAACTATTTCAGCAATAATCAGGTGTCTAAACAGCTTTGAGGATTTTGGCTGTAGAAACTTTACATTATTGTCAGTGCTAGCGCTGAAAGCAATTTTTATCATGTTAAGTGGGAAGTAATCAGTAATTAGTAGCAGTAGGTGGGGGAAAAGTAGACTAGTAATCTAGGGGGACAGTCAGAATCACGGAAGGAAGCGCACACTGGGATGGGAGCTGGCCTTTGATGTAAGTGCCACCTATGAAAGTGCCAAAGGATCGACAGTGTTAGCGTTGGGTTTTCTCTTTTTTCTCAGATTTACTTATTCTGCCTTTGTTTGAAACAGAAAAGACTGACCAGCAGTTTCCCACACTTCAGGAGTGCCATTATACCAGCTGAGGAACCAGGCACAAAGCTGTTCCATGGAAACCTGTTTTGTCAGAAGATCTATAAAATAAGGATTTTGAAGGTTTTTTTCCTGCAGTTTTGGGTCATGTTTATTTTGCACAGACTGACTGACAGCTTTTTGAGTTAGTGCTTATAACTTTAAGGCCAGCTGTGCAATCCTATATTGAATGGATATAAAAGGTGTAACTAATCAAACATGGCATTGTGTTGTGCACTGGAGAAATGTTTTTAGTGCTTGTAAGTCAAACACACTTATGGGTTTTTTTTTTTTTTCATGTGAATTGGCTAAACACTATGAATTATAAATTTAGGCTTTAAACATTTGTTCTTTTAACTAGTTAAAATGAGAGCAGTTAGAGCAAATAAAGTTATATCCACTTTAGAGCATATTTATTATTCTAGTACTCTAAGAAACTGAGAAAACTAAAGACAAAAATGCATTTCAGCTGTTGTGTGTGCAGTACAAACTCTAATTACAGAAAATAGGTTGGCATTGCTCTGACTGCTTAAAGAAAAATTGGGATGATGTCTGATTAAATGACTGAGAGGAAATAAATAACATTTCAGAATTTATGCAGTTAGGATGAAGAATTTATTGTATATACAGTTAAGCAACTCTACTGTAGATGTACTTCCTCTTTAAAGAAAATGAATACAGTAATCAAAATAGTTCTAGCATGGAAACTACAATACAGACTGAAACTTGACTAAAACAGAAATTAGTTATTTGACTTGAAAGAACACAGAACCTGAAACAACAAATCGCAGGTTGCATCATTAACCAAGGACAGTAAAAAACTGTACAGTACAAGCAACACGTTACAATAAGTTATGACCAGTAAGGCAGTCTTTCTCATTTAGGACAAAAGGGATAAAGGGAAAGGTATTAAAATCTCATAAATCCACCGTATCTCTTTTCCATCTCTGGGACCTCTTTGGAATAAGTTTCCCCGTCTTCTTCTGAAGGGAGAATGGAGTCGGCGAAGCGCTTAAGAAACCCACCGTATCGTTTCTGGTAATCCAGCCACCACTCTGGCCTGCCCACCCTTCTCATGAAACCACCGTATCTCTTTTGCAGCTCTTTGGCTTCATCTTCCAACTCGGGGCTGCGCTTTACGCTTCTCATGAAACCTCCGTACCTTTTGCTGACGTCCCCGTCGTTGTCGTTTATCTCTCGGTAATGCCCCGCTTCGGGGTTGTCCCCTGTTCCAAGAAGCTCCTTCAGCAGATCAGAGGAATTAGCAAGGGCATCGTCATCCGAGTCTTTCTTCATAAACCCTCCATACCTCTTAGCCAGGATTTCTCCTCCGTTAGCTTCATCCTCCGGTTCTACCCGATAGAGCTCATCCATTTTCTTCATGAACCCCCCGTATCTTTTCATGAAGCCTCCGTACTTCTTTGCGAGCAGATGGTTCTCGTCCAGCTCCTTCCTGTCTCCTGGAGCAATGTTGCCATCCTCAGGAAGATCCAGCTTCGCCAGTTGCAGGAGCTCCTTGCAGGTCTCCCAGGCTTTGGCAGAAGGCAGCTTTCCTTCACATTCTAGTGTACACGCCTGAAAAACGGATGCGGTTTACTGAGAAGGAGTTGATAGTAACAAGCACCTCACTGCCACCTCCTCTTAGCCTTACTCCTTCTTAAAAGGCCACGAGAGAGCCTCTCTTTTGTGAGTGGCTTGGAAGGACTGCTCTTCGTGAGCAGCTGACTTGGTGCCTGTCTGTTCTGATGTTCCTCACATCCCTCTCAGAAGGACATGGTAGTCTGCACTCCAAGAGACAGAACACCAGACAAGATGGGTCGTCGGTCCTGCATGTCAAGGCTGCCCCTACGTTTCTGTTTCAAAGGAAGCCCCACGTGCAGTTCCTGCACCTCCCTTATGCTCGGGTGTGTTGTTATGATTATTTTATTTACCACTGGGAAGCTAAAACCCAACTGTGGCTTGCTCCACCATGAAGGTGTAGAAGTGCATTCAATCTTTGTAATTAAAATCAACATTCAGAAATTTTAGCAAAAGAAGTTACATGGCACTGTCAGCTGCACTGCACCGCTCGGTGCCTTCAACACACTGCATGGCTCTGAAGGCTTAATTTTTGTGTGTTATCATTAGTTTCTCTTCATGGAACACATCTTTCAAACGTGCAACACAAGTGTAGAAATACAGGCTCTCTTAGGCAGGATCAAAGCTCTGGTTTTGCTACTTGGACATACAAAGTAGTGACCATCAGAAAGAGGGAAAAAATCGAAAGCCATGTTGCTTCTGACTATAATGAAAAATTTTCAGGCTAAGACATAAAAAACTTTCTCAGTACCTGTATGCATATTCCAAAACCTGTCCTGTAAAGATAATAACGTATCTATTGGCCACTACTATCTCTGTCACGTCAAGAGAATCTACTTCTTGTGAAGCCACACATCCAGTTGCAAAAAAGGTCAGTCTGGTGATTTTCCTTTTTTCCCATGGTTTTCATAACACAATAACTGAAGAAGAAATCATCATTATTTTCAGTAAGAGAAACACTTATTCTGCCTGTGAATGATGTTTTCCAAGGACCTCAATATGCTTTTACAGTGTGAAATTAAACCCCAGCACGGTTCTCTGTAATAGCAAACTGACCAGCTTTCTACCTCTGCCCTTACCTGTCTCTTGAGCCACATTTTAGTTCTGAGAAATTTATATATGATTTTTTATATGATCACAAGAAAATTAAAGGGATTTATGTATTTTGCGACACAATAATTTAAATGGCACTAGGTGCTTATTGCTATATGTTATAGTTATGATGTAAAGAGAATGGGATCTCAGCTTCAGTCTGACTTTGAAATCACTCTAAATCAAAGCAAGAATAGGTCTTTCCCCTTCTCAGTTTTAATAACCTCCTATTGCCAAATGAACATATACCAATCTCATGGGTACAAATAACCATGTACAAAGTGATAATCTTGTCTCTTACAGACATGATGGGCTAAATTCAGTTATGATGTTACTAGATGCCAACATCCAGAAACACTTGTTTCTAAAAATTGTTTGTACATGCATAGCAAACACAAGGTACAGCACATAATTTCTTTTCCTATGCAGCTAATAAGTGGTGTTACTGAAGGGGACTTGGATTCTTTCTTGAATAATTACTGGAGGTGTACAAGAGGCAGTATCAGTATAGGTGTCCACAACATCCACTCCAAAAAGCACATATCCCTCCCTCCAAAAGAGCAAACTACCACCTTTCTCCCCAGTTAAGCTTAAGTTTGCTTGAAAGCTAATGGATGCAAGAAAGTATAGCGAACTGTTTTGCCAGCCATCCTAAAAATATTGCCCTTATGAACCTGCTGTGATTAAGAGCCAGTCCTTGAGCATTTGGAGCAAGCAGTGATTAATTCTGCGTAAGAATAGGGTCTCATCTTTCCTTTTGTGTGCTCCCAAATAACTGCTGACACCATAGGAACAAGACTTTTCAGATCATTGGGATGTGCCCTCAGCAGGATGCCTCAACAGGGATCTACCCGAGGTCAGGAACCTCAGGTCCCACTGGCAAAGGGCTCGGCAGCCTGAGCTCTCAGGGTGGGCTGAGGGACCCCCGACTTTCACCGACCCCGATCCTTAAATTTCAAGTTAAGCTGCCTTTATTGCTATACTTTTAAATGATTTCAACACCGTTCAAATCACAGACACACCTCCCACCCCCCCGCACTCCGGAGTTTCCTTACCGAGATTTGTCTTGGGAGACAACGCCAAAGGAGATCTTTCACGGGCATATTCCCGTGGCTGCGCTCCTCAAACCAGCCTTGAACTTCACTTTTTTGGGGTGAGATTTCAGGCAGATCCCCCCCTTCCCCTTCCCGCCCCCGCTTTTCAGCTCGACTGCCATCCTACCTGGATGGAGGGAGCTCATCCTCAGCCGTGGGTCGGGGACCCCCCTCCCGTCCCGCCCGGCTTCCCCAAGCCCTCCCGGGGCCAAAGACCCCGGCGGCGACCCCTCCTCTCCCTGCAGAGCTGCCCTCTCCGCCATTTCCCCTTCTCCTTTACGTTTTCACTCGGATTTTTCCTTGCCCCCCCACCGCGGGCAGCGGGATGG